ATAAAAAATTAAAAAAAAATTTTTTAAAAAAAAAAAAAAAAAAAAAAAAAAAAAAACAAGGTCAGAAGACTCCAATTCTTATGGGTAAAAATGAAATAGTACTAAATCAAATAGGTGGATTCCAATTCTTGAAAAGGTGATAACTGATCCTGGGTTGTAAACTCTAATTTTAGAGTATAATCCTGACATCTGTGATCAAGTTCGAGGAGGGTATGCAGAAAAATCCTTATTAGTCTTGGGACTATAAATTCTCATCGACACAAGTAGCAATGTATAAGGAGATAACAAAATACATTTTTAAGTAGAAACAAGAAGCTAAATGAAGAAGAGCCAAAGATTAAAATGAACAAGCAGCTCAAACGAAAGGGGTAGATAGTCAATATGGTTATTAAGGAACTCACAAACGAAGGGGAAGAAGTAACATATGTCAAACAACCTTAGATTAGAAAATAAGGTTACGATGCAAATTACAACTCAATAAAACGACACAGCTTCAAAACAACTGAGGTCTTGACTTTTGAGCCCCACATCAACGTTTGATTTATGAGTTCAGAACCATAACTTATAATTCTAATTTTTGAAATTTAAATTTTTTGTGAGAGAAAAATACTATAACGAATCAAAAATCATGATCTTAAATCGGGCCAGAATCCTTAAAACAAATGGAGCATTATTTAGTTCAATTATGAGAATCGTGACCCTTTTGTTTCATCAGGTTGCTTTTAGCGTGTTGCTAAACTTGTAAGTGTTTTTGTATTATCGTCCTTGTTTATAAAACTGGCCATAAATTTTATGTAATGTAACGGAAGTAATTACACCATAACTACAAAGGAAGAAGCAACATAATAAAAGGGGAAAAAACTGGCATATAATAACATAAATCTGCATCATACAATTTTTAGTATTTACACTTGTATATATATGTATATATATACTCCAAAGTCAAAAATCCCTCCCGACGACCAACTCTACCCTCTTAGCAATATAAAGTTAACCATTTACACTTTTTAGCTCTTCAGACTATGAACCTTGAACATGTACTCTAAGAAGGGCAGACAATACTTGCTCGCCTGTTCTTCTGACGGCCTAAAAATGACCCTTTTCTGTGAAATCTTCGGTGTCGGATTATAACTGAGCCTTATATACAGTAAACAGAAGAGATAGAGACGTTATTTCAGGCAGACCTATAGATAAGTGTTTATTTACAACCACCAATATCTGTAAATGATACTCCAAAAACTTGATAAAAGTTGCCATCCATGATGTTAGCTGTACAAAACGGTGGATGCTTAACTGGTGGTGGCAAGATTTAAAATGCCTTGCTTGGTCAAAGTTGAGATGGTTCAGGACGAAGTAGCGGATGCCAAACTTATGCGCCTTTCTGCAAAGATGAATAGTAGAACTTCCGAGTTAGATCAAGACTTGGTAAAACTGATAAAGAAAAAAGAGAATGTAAATTCTGCGAAGTAAAATATAGGCTCTCCTCACCTCCAGTTGCGATGAGTTTCTCGACACGAGAAACTATGTGCTTTCCATAGGTGTACCTCTTCAGGGTATTCAGATGAACCTTAATGCGAGAAAGAAGCAACTCCAGACTCTCATCATTGCAGGTCTCAAGAACTTTTTGAACAACGTAGTTTCCAAATGGATCCTTCATCATGGCCTGAAAAATTTGATATTAGCAAGTCTGTGACTGAATATGATGACTTAAAGTTCGGAGACAAAAAACCATCACGCTGCACATTGGGGCAATATACATATACCTAGTAGATGCAAAGAAACATTGCAAACACAAGCAAACACATTGCGACCCCAATTAAGGTTACAAAACTGTAATTTAAGATCCCGTAGTAGTAAGGGATAGATGCTACAACAAAATGTATAGAGGATGCCAGAAAATAGAGTGACTTTAGACTGTAGAACTGCTATTAAGTTAAAAGATAGTGTATGGTGCAGCCTACCTGTAAAGGCTCATTTTCCTCAGTCGAACCCAGCATCTCGTTCACCAAAAGTTGGCGCTCCTCAGGGCTGCCAAAAGTTAAGCACTTTTCCACGACATTAGACGCAAACTTTTGCTGACTCATCCGTACAATTTGTCCTGCAAGTTTGCATATAATTGCAGACCTCTCATGCGGCTTTCCATGTTCAAGTACATGCTATCAAAGAAAAGTACGGAATCAGAAACATGATTAAGGGTTGAGGGTAAAACATGGCCAACGGGAAAAAAACGAAAAAGAAAAAAAAACAAAACACAACAAAACAAAAAACAAAAACAATAACAAAAAACAAAATTAGAGAAATCTTCTTTTGAAATATGTTTTCTTAAAAGACCAGGGAAGTAGTTGACTAATTGAGGAAACAAATGGGATGCTTCCAGTTGCATTACAAAGAAGGTACCAGCAAAGTTTATCATGTAATTTAAACAATGTTTTATTTCAAATTTTTAACTCTACTTCTTACAGCTTGGAAAAGAGGATCATGACTCGAATCATAAAGGCGAGCCTTTATCCATCCACAGCCTAAATTAAATTAAAATGTTGATATACTGACACTGAATTTCACATTAGGTGAACTAACTATATTTCCTTTGGACGTGGCTATGGTCAAGTAAAAGAAGTTCAGTTCCCGTACCAACCTGCAGATTATGCTTTAAATAAGAGATAAAGGTATTTGTGAATACCTGAATTACATAATTCCCATATTGGTCTTGTGCAAGAGTGCAAACAGATTGCATGATTTCATCCATGATAATTTGCTGTGTATTCGGGTTATCACAATGTTCCAGGACCCTCTGTTGCCAAAAAGAACAAAATCAGGAAATAGAAAACACACCCATATTCCCCAACAAATTGAAGCAATATGAAAAGCTATTACTTACCTGAATAACACGGCAGCCATAAGGATGGGTGGAAAGAGTAAAAACTTGACCATAAAAGGATGAGATAATAAACTGTATACGATCTTGAGGGACACACTCTATACATTTTTGAATAACATGATTGCCATTCTGATCACGTACACATTTCATAACTGAACCATCAAGCTCTGCGACCATTTGCGTCTGCTGATCCATGTCAACCACCTCCAAGGCCTGTGGCAAACGTTAAAGCATTATGACATGTTCATGGTCAAAGAAACTTGTGACATATCACACGAACATACATCTGTCCTAGAAAGAAACACGTTCTACATATGTAATAAATCTGAAAACATTGGCTTTGCTTATTCATACAATGTTGCAACAATTTACACAAGAAAATTTGATTGAAAAATCTTTTTCTCACGCCTTTTCTTTCTGAAAGCGAGGAAAATAGAATATCTAATCACCATATGAGAAGGAACAAAGTTGCAAGCATGAGTTGGAGATTACTTAAAAGAATTGTTGTACATATAAGTCTTTGAAGAAGTTGGAAGGAAGCGTCTGGCAAACAAATGCCTGTACTTTACGTACCCAGTTGGATATAATCCTAGGAACATGCCGCTCTTAAAAAGATTCTCTGAGTTCGTTCATTGTTTGTGGTAATTTTGCTAAATTGTTGGAGATCAGGGAAGAGCAGCATGTCTCTTATTTTATAAGATCTTAAAAAGGGCATTAACTTCAGAGAATTATAGATAAATTTCTGTCCTAGATTTTTTGCATACACAAGATAGTACTTAATTTCTCCATCTTTTTATTTTTTTCCATCCGCCCCAAAACTAATTAACCCTTGATTGTACTTTTTCCTTTTTTTTCCCAGTTCAAAAATTGACGTAAAGAGTAGGTTACAGGTAACCCTGTACCTTCCCTACCTCAACACGGTACCCTTCAGACCATTCTAAAATACCCCCAAAAACCATGCAATTAAGTTACTAGGAAAAGAAAAGAAAAGAAACGAATAAGGTCAGAAATCACCTTCTGAATCACTCTGCAACCATACATTTGAAGGCTCAGAGGCAAAACATGGCCAGAAAGTTGGTTGGCTAATTCCTTTCTTTGACTTTCAGTACCATGCTCGAAAAACTGCAATTTCAAGAACATAATTTAATAATAGTTCTGGATGAACAAATAAGAGAATTTTAGAGTATTTCTGTTATGAAAAAGCCCATACTTTCTGTATGACATAATTTCCAAAGACATCTGTCATCAAGTTACGTGCATGTGGAATCATCTCAGGGAATATCTTGGTCTTTTCTTCTGTTGTGGAAGTTTCTAATTTCTGCTGGATAAAACGACTGCCATACTGATCCGTACTGCAAATTACGAATGAAGGAAATAAACTCAAAATCTAAGACAACTTTAAAAGAGGAAAGAAACCAAAGAAAGCACAACATACCTGAATTCAACTACATGATCAACAATGTCAGAAAGGTCAAAAGACTTAGTCTTATTGTTCTTGAACTCATCCAATAAGGACGAGACGATCCTCCCCTCTAAATTATTGCCAATATCCGAGTTCCAAGAGCCAACAGATCGCCCCATTGAATTTCTCATCATCAAATTATTATGAGAAATTCTCTCATTTTGGAACATTGGACTACCAGATCTAACAGTAGGAAGAACCAAATTGCCCATAGTATTTCCCACATATGGTGTTCCAAGCCCATGCGATCCAATAGGACCAATAGCGTAATTATCATGACTAAAACCACCAGATTTACCTAGAAGGGACAGCTCTAAGCGTTCTCTTTGTTGAGCCAGTAAAACCTCAAGGTATGCTTTCTGAATCCCCTCCAAGTCTCCATGTGAAGTGGCAAATTGATTTTTAACCAGAGAAGGGTCATTCAGAGTAGTTGCAGTACGTGCAGCATATTCAGGACTTCTTTGCAAGAACTGAAGATAACGCGGATCGATAATCGGGGAATGCAGATCAGATAAGCTATTGATATTTTGTCCATTTTGAGTAGAAGCCAAACCTGAATCTCCTCAAAACCCAAGCGACCATGAGATAGACAGACACACATGAGGAAAAAGAAAAAGAAAACAAGGAAAGAATAAAGCTTCAATGCTAGACTTATGTTTCTATGATAGTTAATTTGATAAAAGTGAAGAAACAACAAAACTACCTGCGTCAAAATGATTGTCAATAGCTGAATTTCGCTTCTGGTTGGTAGGAAAAGCACCAGGCATGAACTCAAATCCGAAAGTGGTTGCATTTTGATTATATGCATTTGGTCCTTCCAAACTTCCAAATCCTGAAGAACCATACAGATTGGCAGAGGAAGAAGTCCTTGTAGGAAGGTTGACTTGCATAGTGCAATTCGTCTTAGAAGCATTAAGGTTTGTCACAATCCCATTTTTCCTAGCTAAATCAACATAAATGCCTGGACGAGAGAGATTTTCAGCATTGGCGTTCATGAGTTCCTGCTGCAGATTTTGTTGATGGCCATTTTTGAACAGAAAATCAGACTTATTGTCAAAGTTCAGATGAAGCTGAGACTGCACATGACTATTCACATCTCTATTTCTAACTTCTGACAGACTTAAACCAGATAGATTAGCTGCAATCTCAGTGAGCTCATTCATTCCAGAAGAATGACCATTTTGGACACTCAAGCCACGACCATTATTTTGCTCGATTGGGAAAACTCGGCTTCCCACAGGAGGAAGGCCAGAATTAGGTGATCTGCCAACTAGCTTTAGTTCAGGGGTTGTGCTCCTAGACAGTGAGGAGCCCGTTGCAGATGAAAAAGCATAAGGAGATGCAGTGCCATGGCTCTGAACTCCAGCAAGACCACTGGGACCTCTTCCATTAGGCAAGCCCTCCAAGAGTTCCACTCCATCACCAAAATCACTACAACTTGATGGGCGTGACAAGAAGCTGGACATGGAAGCAGGTCGATCAAGTCCTTCCTACAAATGTTGGTCATCAGCATAACACGAAAACCTTATAGGAAAAAGAAAAACATGGTAGCTAACAATTCATCAAGGTCATGCATGTTGCCATGTTGGACCAAATAACAAATTTATCACTCTTAACTGTAGAAGGTAAAAACCAAGGAAGTCAAAATGTATGAATCCTGCTTAGGGATCAAGAACCAGTGGATTATATCTTGGAAGCAAATCAAAAGGTATGTACTATAATTCTCATGAAAAAACAAATCTATATTTGAATACAGCTAACTTTAATTTTCATGTACATGAAAAAACAAACTGGATTTATCACGTGTCGTGGATCGAAACAACCTTAAAGAAAATCATCAAGATGGAAAATTACATAAACTGAAAAAGAAAAAGAACCAAACTCAATGAAAATGTTGAAGAGGGTCATAAAACTACATAAATAAAACTTCATCCAGAGCTATAAAACTAATAGGAAATCAAGACAAACTGCAACAATCACCTGTAGTATATCCGCAAAACTCTTCCTCCTTGCACCAAGCCCATTGCTTGACAAGCCAATCGAACTGTTCAAGCCTCGATCTGTCCACCCAGAAGAAGTCTGCCAGGAGTGATTACTTCCACTAGCATTCCTCAGTTCCATCAAATCATCCTCCGCCTGCTGCACAGAAAGCCCTGGCTGCATTGAGAAAAGCGACGAACTTTCGCCGTCCTCAATCCCCTTCTTCCTCCAGTCCCCAATTTCCCCAAACGAAGACCCACCAGCCTGAAATCTCTGCGCAATGCGCCAATCCTCTTTTGACAACAATGGCGGGGGTAATCGCGGGTTCATGTTATCATGTGAATAATAGTAAGAGAGATAAGCAGGGTGTGATCTAATCTCATCTTCCGATAAACCCCCATTGTTAAAACCCCTACTATTAGTATTAATCTCTTTAACGTCCGAGTTTCCGAAAAGACTACCAACAGCACTTAACGATCCCTCAACTGTAGGAGGGGCACTGCCACTCCTATAAATATTTAGATCCCTCTCTCGATCCATAACACTCTGATTTCGATGCTCTCGCAGAATCGATTCGATTTCGGTCTGTAAACTGTCCTCTAAACTCCCATTGGGTTCCATATTTTTACTCCCAGTGGCCCTGTCAAAGCTCTAGTTTTATCCTAAAAAAAAAAAGGTAAAAATAATGGAAAATCGTTAAGTAACAAAAGGAATTCTAAGATCAAACCCTAATAAATTTCATATTTCTCGCAGTCTAGTTTCTACCAATCAAATCCAACATCTCTGTAAAACAAAATTAAAGAACTTTCAATACTGCTAAAAAAAATTCAAACTCAACATGTCAATTATGTTCTACTTTTTCTTAACGCAATTATTGTCTACTTTATCAATACCAATAATTATTATTTTCTCAGCAACCAAACACACAACAACAATTAATCCGCAAAAAATTCAACCACCGGACAACAAATTCCTAATCTTATAACCAAAAAACCGATACTTCACACGAACAACTACTCCGAACCGATCATAATTGCGAAAATAACAGAGAGAAATTCCCAAAAAAAGAAAATGATAACTTGAAAGTTCGGCAAAAACATATATAAGATATACATACACATATACATAGATGAAATCATCAAACGGCTAAACGACGAGTCGTATTACAGCCGAGTTCCGGCGTGGAATCGAAGCTGAAACTTTTTTTTTTTTTTTATTCTGCGCGAGTGAAAACGACGAATTGTTTGTGGATGAAGACGGTGATTAATATGGGAGGCTCAAAGCTTATATAATAATAATAATTAATGATCCTTCAATTCGATCGAAAAATCTCTGGTTAAAAGAAAAATAATGTATCAACATTATTATTTACAAAAAGGAAAGAACACCAAGAGAGAGAATTCTTTTTCTTTTCTTTTTTTTTTACCCTTTTTCTTGTTTTGCACAGAGAGAGAGAGAGAGAGAGAGAGAGAGAGAGAGAAGAAAGAAATGAAGGAGGGGGATGAGATCGCGTGGGTGGGGCCTGAGATTCTTAATAAACGGTTTACTTTTTTTTCTTTTTTCGGAGGAACGGGTAGTGAATCAGGACCGTCGTTTTTGAGATGGATGTTGATGGACGGTCGAGAGGCTACGTGCATGGGTATAGTACAGTATTTATTAGTAATCTTTTTTTTTTTTTTCCTAAGCGAAGGGAAAAAATGAGTTTCCCTGTTTTTAGAAGTTTTGCATTAGGTGCTTCCTCGAAGAAAAAAAAAAAAAAGGAAGTTTGCATTTTGTGAAACAGGTCAGTATGGTAATAAAATAAGGGAAAATTAATTTTTTTCTTGGAAGGTAACATTTTTTTTTTCCTGAAAGGGAAAATCTGTTTTGTTCTAACTAAGCAAAAAGGGAAAGAAAAAAAAAAGTAAGTTTCCTGCATTTTGTGCTTCCTCAAAAAAGAAAAAAAAAGTATGCATTTTGTGAAACACGTAGATAAGGTAAAAAATAAAAATAACTAAATAAGGCAATGTTTTTTTTTTAAGAGAGAGATAATGTTTGGCTTTTGGACTTTAAAGTTCTTTCTTTTCTTCTTCTTTCCTGTTTTGTTTTTTAATTTCTCTATTTTCTATATGAGAACGAACATACATACGTGTAGGAGATGCAAAGGGATTCTGTTACTAAAAGTTTATATTTCCGAGGATTTTGGAATTATGGAAACTATTTTCATTGTTTTTGCGTTCAATACATTGGGACATCTCCCGGAAATAATAGTAGTATTGAGTATGTATATTCTTTTTTTAAGGATTTTTTTTTTTTTTTTTGAGAAAATTTTTTAAGGAAGTCACGTATAAGTATATTCGTAGTATTGGTAATATGTATTTTTTAAGGTAATAATAAATTATGTGTATTGGCTGTAGTCTAATTCTAACGTTAAACCTTTTATTGTTGAGTTTGAGAGTTTAAATTCTCTCCCCCAAATTTTTTTTTTTTTTCTAAAAAGTCTACTGGGCCATAATACTCAACAATAATATTGAGACATAATAAAAGTAGGGAGAAAGAGAAAAATAGGTTAAGACTTGAGATGAATTAAAATTAATAGGCCAATAATTTACATAAGTTAATAAATATGTTAAATTACTGTTTTTATCCATAACTTGTCTGGTTATGAACCATAACTTGACAAGTTATTATCCATAATTCACGGTTTTTGTCCATAACTTGTCTGGCTATGAACCATAACTTGATAAGTTTGTCCATAACTTATCTGGTTATAAACCATAACTTGACAAGTTATGGCATATTAATTTCTATAACTAAAAATTGACCTATATACTTTTTTAAGCTTTTCATATTGACCTATTTTCTACTATTTTCGATAAAAGTAAAATGTACGACTATTTGGGGTTTAGGTTTGGGAGAGAATGTGACTCCGATCTCATATTGTAAATAAAATAAAATAAAATAAATAATAATAATAACAATAATAATAATATTTATAATAATAGCGAGTAATACATACTTTATATTCTTCTAATAACGAATAAGGTGTTGTAATATTTATCTTAGAAAAAATACATGCAACGAACTCCTTGAATTTTAGGCAATGTTGGATTAACAATTTTTTGCTTTTAACAACATGGACCGGCCAATGACTTTGTATTTTGATTTTTTTTTTTTTCTTTATAATGTATCTTTACTAAACACACTAGACTAAACCAAAGTCGGTTTTGCTAAAGTGATAAGATTAGGCGCATAAGCTAACAAAGTTTAGGCAATTAGACAGAAGAAGGGGAGATGTGACGTTATCTCTTGCAAATTGCCGTCTACATAAGAAAGTCCATGTTTTGGTCTGCCAACCAATAATTGTGCTACGAGTTCTAATGTTGTTTAGTTACGCCGCAAGTTTTTCGTCCCATCAAATGATATAATATAACACCGTACAAGTCTGGTACTATCATATGACATTTGTGTGATTTTGTTAAAAAAATTAAAATAAATTGACGAACGCTACCATTAGTGGTTAGTGCTAGATTGGTTAGTCAACAAAACCTCCCTATGCCCCTGCTCTATTTTCTCTCTCTGTTTGGCAAGATTGAAAACGACCACACTCCCTTTGGCGGGACGAAGACGACCACCATGCTCGGCGTTTCTCCATCTTCAGAGTATTGGAGGGGCCTGTTCAATTCAAGAGCAGACTCCTCGACACAATCATGGACAATATTCAGAGCAGAAATTTGTTGAGAAAGAAAAAAACAAGTATTTGATAATCCATTCTTATCAAGTGTGCCCATAAAGAAAAACCCTTGATTAATTAGACAACGACAACTTAATTGCTGGTGCCACTAAGAGATGAAAATTGACCTCAAGGCCAATTATCCTTTTGGTCGTTGCTTTGGGACATTGAAATCATCACCTAATCTTTTTGTCCTTTGCCAACTAGAATCGGCAAGTCAAGAACCACCCCTCTGATTCCTATACAAGTTTACACTAACGAATCCAAATATAAGTAAACAATGTCCACACCATCACAAACTAATAAAACAATTCTCAAAAATTTCATATCCAAAGGCCCTTTCATAATACTAATATCCAAGTTTATTCCAATTTGCAATTCAGCATTTACACTAATTTTCTATATGCATAAGAGGTGAGATTTTATGCAATTATTGAGTCTCAGCACAAAAAATAAAAAAAATAAAAAAAATAAAGGTGGGGGAGATAGATTGGTGTCGCTCTAACAAAGTGACTATTTGACTTGAACATCAAAGCATGAGAAACGTTGGTGGAAGGAGAGGTCTACCTCTATATTTCTACTTTGAAAAGTATATATATATATTAAAAAAAAGAAAAAAAAAAAAAAGATTTCAGCTAATGAAACTGTGAAAATAACTTTCCTAGCATACCGAAATTTACACTGCACACTCTTTTTCAATCATTTCACGAACTTCATTAATTACTAAATACGCTTTGTGTCCACCGATAACCTCAGCTTGTTTCTTGCCGTCCTTCCAGAGCTGTAAAATAGATAATCTTTCTTATGCAGAGCTTCTAATGAATCAACTAGGAAAAATAGACTAGAGAGAATAATCCAAGCTCCCAAAGACATAATAATGATGTGGAACTTACCTGTATAGTTGGCATTTTCTGCACAGATTTCCAAGCCCATGGTACACATGCATGAAAAAGATACAATAGTGAATAACATTGTGCACATTGGAACAAGCAATGGGATAAAGAAGTTTTATGAAAATTCCATTGCTGCATGTCAGCTATTGTCATTGAGAAATTATAGATAAAACATGTCATAAAAGTAATCGATTCACCAGTAAAGTCATATATTGTTTCCAAAGATCGTCAGCAAATGCGCTTGAAATAATCAAATTACGTTAAACTAGCTATTTCTGAAATGTTGACACAGATAGTGGCATTGCAATTTACCTGCTTAATATGTTCTTATCTTATATTTATTAGAAAATCCTTGTATTGATTATTAATAAAGTAGTTGGTTCAAAACAAAAATCACTTACAGTGACACCAGCACGAGCAACAAGCTTATGTGGAACCATGTTAACATCAACACAGTAGAACCGCAATCTACATGAAATCAATTTGATTCTTAATTAGAGTTAAAAACCAGCTAAAACACCATCATATATATTCTCATCCTCAACGAAAGAGGGATATCCTTATAATGCACGGCAAAGTCATTTTGCTCAGAAGATGTTGGCAGTCATTATTGCTCAGGGATTTATATACAGTTGACACTTGCAACATGTTGTCCTCAGTCCTCCGCAACCTTTACATTCTTTTAGTTTTTGGGATTGTTCTTATCATATTTAGGAACAACAAAAGAACTTGGGAAGGAATTACAACAGAGAAAGCTACAGGAATTCAATGCAACAGAACTCAACATTTACAGATTTTTTAGATCAATAGGAAACAGACCAGAGAAAGATTTCATTGTTATTTGGCATGGTCTATTTACACAACATTATAAGAGAGATATGACTAATGAAGTCATGGGGCACGAAGTGCATTGCACATGGTGGCCAAAGTCCACATTAAACAGTAGAACGGTACAGAAGTAAATATCAATTCTTCTACTTTTCTTCAACTTCATGTTAGTCTTACTTTCTTAGGACTTCTATGGCATATGGAACACCAAACTTGATGGTTCTGAGCTTAGGATTCATAAGGGAAAACACCATTTGGAGAATGAAGCATCATCACAAAATGATAGTGTTTAAGTAGTCCAGTGACAGGCTCCAGTTCGTTACTTTGCTTGGTTAGTTAGCTCGAATATGAGATTGAGTGCTTGTATGAAGTTGTCAGGCAGGTTGTTAGACAGTTAGAAGCGATTAGAAGATAGAAGAGGATCTGACTAGTGGCCAAGGAAAATTGGGGCATAAAAAGAAAGGTCGAGTAGCTGGTTAAGGAGGGAATTTACGGGTTGCTCGGTGGTCTGTGATCACTGAGTTGGGAGAGGGACAGGACTCTTAGAAATCCTGTCAAACACTTAAAAACATTTACTGTGAATTTCACTGTTCTACTGTTCTTTCACTGCGAATTTCCAGAAAAGCTAGGATTGAACCACCCAGTTGCGGAACGTGGGGTCTTCAAAAATGGCTTGTCATTGATTTGCCAAACAAAAACCAAATGAATACAAATTGAAATAAGACAAAATAGTTAATGCAATGGATGCAGGGAGCTCAAAATTGTTAGTTTATCAATCATCCCAAAAGCTTAAGCTGTTAAGATGTGGACGAACAATAATTTTATATTTTAACACTCCTCCTCACGTGTGGACTGGCCAATGGGCAATCGTGTAGATAAATTAATTAAAAAGCCCAACACGTGAATATTTAAGCTCGAGATATATTAAAAACCCAATACATGACAATTTTAAATAAGGATAAAGAGTGCAATTACGGAAGTTTGAACTCAGGACCTTCCGCTCTGATACTATGTTAAGCTGTTAGGATGTGACCAACAATAATTTTATACTTTAACAAAAATACAGTACACCAACTATTACTGAAGAAAACTTGGAGGTAAATAAGAAAGTGAATTCTCAATAATAAGAGAAAGAAACCAAAAAAGTACACAAACCTTGGATAGTAATCGGCTGCCAGCTTTTCCAATTTGGGTTTCAAATATATACACTTTCTGCACCAGCTTGCCATCCTAAAGACATACACAATTAATCCCCACTTTAAAATCCCATTTTTTATCAAATATTCATCTTGAAGAAAATGGGATAGATAAGCTTTGCAAAGCACAGAAACTAGAACTAAAATAATCACTAATGACCAAACAAGAACGAAAGACATTACTATTTCTAAAACTTTCCACACACAAAAATTCCAACAAAGCAAAATTTACTAAATCCTGAGCTAACATTTCCAAGCAAAATAAACCAGGAAAAAAAAAACCGCGTTAAAATAAAAAAGTTTCTATTTCTTCATTTTTCCTCTCTTTTTTTTTTCCTCTCTAACAGTTTTCCAGGCAACCAAACAGCAAACAAGAAACACCCACCAAAGAGGGACCCAACATCTCATCAGTCAATTTAAAAAAAAAGCCATAAATGGGAAGGAAAAGTTACCAGAGAAAAATGAGGGATTCGTCGAGTTGGTGAGCGTCGGCGATGAGGCGATCGAATTGGGTCTCGGAGGAGACGGGTGTAAGCTCCACCGACGCCGGCGACTCGTCGAGCTCCTGCAGAGACGATCCCTCTTGTTGGTTCCAAGCATTGGGGCGAACTGCGATTGCCCAATTTGCGCCTCCGAACCTCTCGAATTTACGCGAGCAGACCAGAGACGACGGCGATGACGATTTGGGATTGGAGCAGAGGACGAGGAATGTCCGAGAGGTTTCGGTGGAGGAGAAGTCACGTGACCGATCACGTGAGGTTGTGGGTCCGGGCATCAGAGGTCTGAGATTTGGGTTCAGTCGTACGGACATGTCGAACAAACAAGACGGAGATAGATATTTTCTTTTCTTTTCTTTCGCCTCGACAAAAACTGCCCACAAAAATCTCTCTCTCTCTCTCTCTCTCTCTCTCTCTCTCTCTCTCTGCTTTTCTGTTTCTCTGAAAAGAAAGCTTTGATCGATCATCGAACGATGGAATCGTTGACGATGCTGTGGGCTCAGTGATGACGTGGCAAATATCGGCTGTCTGGTGTTTACGTAGTGTGGACCCCACGTTCGGATCGGTTACGAGGATGATAACTGAGTTGACTGATTTAAGTTTTTAATTTGAATTGATATATGATTTTATATGAGAGTTTTTTATTATAATAAAAAAATTAAATGTAACTGTTTCTGAAAATTTTATAGGCCTCGCTCATTTTACCGAGTCAAGTTTAAAATTTGAGTTTTTTTACAGTAAAAAACTCTAAGAAATAGTCACATCTAACTTTTTTATTACAGTAAAAAGTTCACATAAAGTCACGTCTCAACTCAAATCAGTAAACTAAATGGGCCTTTAAGACAGCAAAATTTAAATTTTAAACTCGAATCGGTAAAATGAATGAGGTCTGAATAAGTTCATCTAGTTATCAAATGGGAACGTCAGCAACAATTTTCAATATGAAACTGGAAGTTTGAGTCAAGCTAAACAGGTCGGTCTGAAGCCCGTCATTATTAGTGGGTCTTAATTTTTCAGATCAGACTGAGATTTAAAACCTAAAAATTTATTTATACCGGGCCGAGTAATGTCCAAACACCCTTTTTTAAAATATATTTTTAAAAAATGTTTTATAAAATTTCAATCCGGATAGGGTCAGGTCTACGCTTTTTAGACTTTAAGACAAGACTGGACCAACCTCCGTTTTAGGAATGAGCAGGCCCAACCCGAATTTTACTTCTAATTCAATCTTTTTTTAGCGGCATGTACTCAGTTCAATTTTTGATATATTAAAAGAAAAATGAAGTAAACAACGTATTTAAATAATTAAAGTAAAGAGTGGGTTTTAAAATTATTTAAAATAAATAATAATAAATTAGAAATTTACGTGATAAAAAAAACTTTTTACATAAATAAAAAATTCAAGTGTCAAAAGATCTTTTAACTAGTCTAAATAAAAATTTACGCATCCTTTTACTATTATTTATTTTAAATATTTGAAAATATAATATTTATCAAATTTAATTTGATAATTATTTGCTACCATTTGTGTACATATAAATAGTGTCTGGTATGTCATACTTCGTAATTTATTAACTTTAACGATAAAGCAAAAAAAAAAAAAAAAAGTTAATAAGCATTTTATTTAAATTTTTAATTATAAATTTTTATAATTAAAACTTCTAAAAATATATCATATTTAATTTTTTTATTATATTTTAAAATTTTTAAAAAATATCGCATTTCAACTCCTAATTTTTTCAAATGGATACAACTTGTTTGATTAGACCTTTTTTTTCGCTTTTCCATGTGGCTCGATTTATGTCGGATAACTCAGGTCCCGTTCATTTCGCTGATTCGAGTTTAGAATTCGAGTTTTGCTACAGTAAAAAGCTCTCACAAACAATCACATCTAACTTTTTTGCTACAGTAAAAAGCTATCACATAAAATCACATCTCAACTCGAATTAAAAACTCGAATCAGCGAACTAAACGGACCCTGAAACTCTCACATTTAATGTCACAACTCAGAATAAAGAATGCATTGTACTGACTATTATAGCCTTATTCTCACATAGAGTCTAGGGATTTTGTTGTTTGTGATACTCCACTTCTCTTTCTTCGTTTTTGTTCTCTCTTTCTCTGCCTTTCTCTTTATGTTTGTCTCTTTCTTTCTCTCTTTCTCCCCTTCATCAATGCAAAGCTCCATCTCCCATTCCTTCACGACGTCGACGTCCGATCACCATGAGCCACCACTATCTCCTTCTTCGTCACAGCTTCTCTCTCAGATTTGGTGTGGAGCTTCTCAGATCTACACAGGCTGATGACATGCGTCCTCCTCGGTAGGACGACACAGAGGGAGATCTTCAGATCTCCCCTTTCATTGCAGTGGCGACATGGAGGACTTGTTGTGGCTGGTCATGCAAGGAATGACTTTGTTCTTATGAAGGAGAACTGAGAATCTGACGAGTTTTTTTTTTTTTTTTTTTCCTTTTTTGCTGGTCTACTTGTAGTTTTTTTCCAACCAAACTGTTTGTCATTTTTTTTTCCTGATACGTTGTTCAGGCGGTCGTGGTGCCACCATATATTGGCGGTGATCGGCCTGTATTTATAGTGGATACCGGTTGGTATCATGGTTGGATACCGGTTGTGTGACCTCATCCCGAAGCTGCAACGATCGCCTCCGCAATATTGTCGGCGGATCTTCGCCTTTCTTCGGCCATGGGAGGACAAATTTGAATGATTGGGGAGGGTCGCAATATAGTGCACCGCTCTTGAATTAAACAGAATCGATTCCCTAATTGAGAATTGTGCTTTTGATTTTTCATTGCTTTTTTGTGATTTTTTGTATTTTTTATTATTCCAGCAGCAACATGGCCGCCAATAATGGTGGTTACCGGTAGATACCAGTCGGTAACCATCCGGTATCTGGGTGGACACTGTGTAATGTCTGGGTGGCCACCAATAATCATGGAAGAAACTAAATTTTTAGGTATGCCGCCAATACTAGTGGTTGTCCGCCAAATACCATCGGCTATCTCGATTAGATACTAGTTTTATGATTGGATGTTGGCATTATCTCAGTCGCATATTGATATTGTGACCGGATGCTAACTCAAATTTTAAAAGTATACGTAGTATTCTAAAAATAGTATGATGTTATAATTGTAGTATTTGCTGTAATAATTTATGTCTCTTGACATGCGTTAACCCCACCTTAAAACCTATCGCAGCTACTTTTACAGTCTTATATGCTTATCATTTTATACACTAAAATTAGATAGACAATTTAAAACAACTCATTGAGAATTGTGCTTTTGATTTTTCATTGTTTTTTTGTGATTTTTTGTACTTTTTTATTATTCCAACAGCAACATCGCCGCCAATAATGGTGGTTATCGGTAGATACCGGTTAGTAACCATCCGATATCTGGGTGGACACTGTGTAATGTCTGAGTGGCCACCAATAATCATGGAAGAAACTAAATTTTTAGGTATGCCGTCAATACTAGCGGTTGTCCGCGAAATACCATCGGCTATCTCGATTAGATATGACTTTTATGATTGGATATTGGCATTATCTCGGTCGCATATTGATATTGTGACCGGATACTAACTCAAATTTTAAAAGTATATTTAGTATTCTAAAAATAGTATGATGTTATAATTGTAGTATTCTATGTAATAATTTATGTCTCTTGACATGCGTCAACTCAACCCTAAAACCTATCACAGTTACTTTTACAGTCTTATATACTTATCAATATATACACTAAAATTAGATAGACAATTTAAAACAACTTAGCCTTCCATGACACATAGGGAAGGAGTTCTGAAATAAATTGTGGGCTCCATTTAGTAACACCGTAAGTCATTAGAAAGCGTCGGTCTGAACCGACCAAGTCAATTTTCAGGAAAGAAAAATCGAAGATTGAGCTGAACACAAAGGGAACCGGTCGGTTCACTCACAAATAATGTTGGTTTTTAGGTAGTCGTGAACCTAATAATCAGACAATGAAAGGGCAGTGGGCGAATAATTTTGCTCTTTTCTTTTTGCACATGTTATCTGTATTGAGGGAGGCTAAGAGAATAAGTGGCAACAATAACCGTGGAGGTCTAGGGAGTAAGGAGAGCCTAGGAGCAACATACCAAATGTGAGATGTGTCTGGTGGAGATGCTGTAGTGCTAGGGTTATAAGTAAAGAAATGTGGGGTGAAAATAAGGGAAATATAGAGAATGAGCGTTTGGTTGGTAGATTCGTGCCATGATTCGAATCATGGTTCGTGGTTCGCTACAGTATTTCTTTTTATTACAAAAAACACATGTAAACCGAGAATAATTCTGAATCCATGAATCAAACGTCTCTCACTCCTTAACTTTTTTTGAGGAGTGAAACAACACTATTTTTGAGTCTCACATTTGACTCGAGGGCTTTTTTGTGTTAATTGGGGGTGAAACAACACTGTTTCACTCCTCAATTTTTTTTTATATACTATTAGTGTGAAAATATGCTCCGCACGTGTAGCCATGTGTTTATTATTACTACATATGAAAATTTTATTTATACATCAATTTAATGTTTTTAAGTATTTTTAAATGAATTTTTATAATTTTGATAAAAAAGAAACTCATTTTAATTTGTGGCACTTTGAATTGGAAAAGATATTTTGAAATGTCACATATTTAAAATAATATTTTAGAGGATCATAATAAAAGAAAATATTTAAATTGGGATGATGTTGAGTTTAAATCTCCACCCCACATTAAGGAAAGAAAAACATAATTTTAAAAAATATATAAGATTATTCGGATTAAAACAGGAATATAAGGTTGCAAGGAAAACAAAAAAAAAAAAAAAAGAGGAAAGAAAATAAAGCTAAAGAAAAAAAAATGTGAAGAAGGTCCAAAAAGCTTTCGCCTTTTACTAGTTGTATATGTATAGATTATGTATAATATATATATATATATATATTTAGAAAAAGAAAATACGGAACTCAGTCCACTTTAGTTCCAAACCAAGTCCCAAAACACCTACTAAACTTTTAACCACCCACTCTTAAAGTTGTTCGGCCAACTGAGCGACGAGATCGGTTATGACACGACACCGGCCCAAGCTGTTTTGTAAGCTGATTATCAATCGGAAGTAGTAGTTTCAGTTCACCGATTTTCGTAACAGTCCTACCACTTATGCATGAGTGAATTAGAGTAATACAACTTTGGAAAAAGAAAGAAAAGAGCGAGAAAATTAATAAACTTACTTTTAAAAATGTATGGATCTTATTCTTATTTTTATTTAATATCTTTTTTATTAATACGATTATTTAATTAAAAGAGATTCGTGCACTTTAAGATGATATTTATCTCTTTTTCTTTTAGAGTATTAGTTTCGATTAGTTTTAGCGAGTTATATTGGGATTGTTCTTTTGCAACGAAACTCAGAAAAAATTTAAATTCGAGTTATAATTTTATTCAAGTTCATGTTTTTTTGTAAAATTTGAGTTTGAACTCGAGTGCCTCAAACTCGAGTTTAAGTTTTTCCTTCAACTCGAGTTCAAGTTTTCCCTTCAACTCGAGTTCATAAACTCGAACTCAAGTTAATGAATAGTCTTTTTTTTATTCTTAAAATGTCATAACTTTTTAATTTTAATTCTGATTGAGATGATTTTTTTCTATGCATTCACAATGAAAAAACGAATAAAATCATACTCATATATCTTATTAAAATTTTTCATCATCATTGAGTTTTTATTAAAATACTATTTAAATATAAATTTAAGTTTTGACACACTCAAACACAAACTCAAAAAGATTCTCAATTCAAATCATAATTCAAATGTGCACATCTAAACACAAACTCAAGTTACAACTTCAACTTAAGTTAGAACTCAAACTCAACTTAAGATCTTTACTCAAATCATTCTAACTTAAAAATGTAAAAGAACAATTATTTTCATGGGGAAAATGGGTGAGAAAATGAAAGGGATAACATTTATGACATGGCACTGACTTGTCGAATTTTCTAAGGGTAATTTTCTTGTTAGGAAGCGACCGGTTTGATTCACCGTTTCCCATAACAATCCCATCATTTAATGCCATGAATGAATTAGACTAATGTCACTTTTAGAGAGTTAGTTTTGAGCATCGCTTCATTGGTTCTTGATTGGCTGCTTGGGGTTCTTGAGTTCTACTTTGTTCTAGGCCGTTGCTCTTTAACTTGTAGCATACTTGGATTCTGAAACATTTTCCATTTAAATTACTCATTTTTTTCGCTGATTCGAATTTAAAATTCGAGTTTTGCTACAGTAAAAAGCTCTAAAAAACAGTCACATTTAATTTTTTTGCTACAGTAAAAAATTCTCACACAACATTATATATTAAACTTGAATTAAAAACTTAAATTAACGAATCGAACGGTAAAGTCATGACATTCATTTTTGTTTGTGAGAAAGGCAATATTTAAGACGTACGCTGGCCACTCCATAACAAAGAGTTTATGACCATTGCGCTTTCGCAACTTGATTTTCTAGTTTCAAGTGTTTTTGACAAAGGAAAAGGAAACAAGAAATAATCACCAAACTTACCATATAGTTTTTATTGGTAACAAACATGAATAAGTCAAAAAATAATAATAATAAATTACGGGATTACAAGGCGGGAAAGGTGGGGCATAAGATCAAAATTGGATATTGTTAACAAAACAACAAAAAATAATAATAATAAAAAAAGGAAAACCACAAATATAATTTGAAGAATCTACTAGACTCCATAATGTTGTCTCTCAAAAGTTTCAGAAATGTCTCGAAAACTCTTCAACTCATCAAATTCTCTATAATTTTGGACAGGGCCGAATATGTCCCAAAAGCCGATGATATAACTCCTACTGTGATAATTATAATGCAAAGTGCTCCCTGTAAAAGGCAATATATAAATATATAAATAAATAAAAATATTTACACCAAAACAATTCAATTATAATTTGATACTAATTAACTATGTAATAAACATTAAATACCAACCTGAAAACGGGTTATTCTTCCTCTTAAAATGCTCAGGAAACAAGCACAAGGAAGTATCAAGGTCTGCAACAGAATTAGTTGTTAGCAATGAGACAAAATTTATATGTCGTTTGACATGTTGTGATAAATAATTTATAAAATTTTGTAGTGCAAAGTTTTGTGACTATCATGTAAATTAGGGAAATTTTATTTTATATTTCTGTCATTAATTTTAAAATTTACTATTAATGTCATTAATATTTTGGTAGGATGTATTTCATACTCTATCAGATTATTCTTATTTTACGCATTCTATTAAAATATGTTTCATATTCTGTCAAAATATGAACATAAATTAATAAAATGATGAAAAATAATGGTTATTCTTATAATGTTCTCCGTAGACTAAGAACCAAAATGCAAGGCAATTTTTACTACTTAAAAGATATGAACTAAATGAGTGGCAGATGAGAACTTACTACAAGCATTGTGAGCAGAGATCCAATCAATGACATCACAAGACCTGTAACGAGATTGGTAGAATCAGAAATGTGTTATCGACACAATACAGGGAGCAGAATTTTAAAAGCATTTAATAATCTTGTAGGCTCTTTTATAAAATGGCCAAACAAGGATTCACTGTTCTTCCCCCCCAAAAAGAAATTGATGGTGTTAATTTTGATTTTTTTTTTGTCATTGACACATCAGATTATTTGGTAATTATATTTAATTACGACATGTCATGATAATTGTTGGTGATTACAGATTTTTTTTTCTATGTGCTATTATAGTAATTATGATAATTATTTGTGGTATTATTGACGTGACAATGATTAAAAAAAAAAAAAATTTTCGTACTTTAAAAAAATCCTCTTGTTCCTGTAGTCTACACAATTGCTTGAGAGACAAAAAATAAATAAAAATAAATAAAAAGAAAATCAAAGAAGAGAACAAATCAATGAAGAATGAAAGAGACATACCAAAGAAGGGGATAGTAAGAGCCAAACCAAGGGTAGAGAGCACAAGTCCAGTTCTAATGAGAATAGCAAATACATGAGACTTGAGATGGCTTGATGGAATCAACTCCTCCAGACTCATTGCCACTGGCATTATGGTCAATGCATATGTGATTCTTATTAAGGAAACACATCTTTTGCTTTTCAATTAATTTATTTTTCTTGTTTTTTTCCTTTCTTTAGTGACTCAAAACATTTGCATTTCACTAATCAGGATTAGATAAAATTCTTCATCTGTATGATTTTGTGAGAAAAAGGATATTTGGTAAAGGGGTTTACTACCTGCAAAAAAAAAAAAAAAAAAAAAAGTGTTAGGCTTCAAATGGGCCAGAAAAATAAAAGACAAACCACAGAAGTTTATATGCTAACTGCATCTCCTAAACTCGATAAATGTGACTATTTTTAGCCCAAAAAATAAATAAATGTGACAATATCGGTCATTCCATTTGTTTTTTGTCTAAAAAATAACATCGAACACGTGAGGTTTTCCGTTCATTTTTTTAGACGGAAAGAGAACGGAAGGACTAGTATTGCCAACTTTTTCAAGTTTAGGGGGTGTCGTTGACACATTTGAAAAAGTTAAAAGGATTCACGTTAAGAAGCATGTACTGACGTACATACCGTAGTCCACAAGGCAATCTTGGTGGCGACCAAATCCTGAGGCATGTTGAGAGTAAATTGTGATTGTGTCGATTCTCCAAACATTGTGTATCCCATAACAGCAACTCCAGCATACATCAAAGTGCATATGGCAAAACTACAAGTTTTAGCACCAAAACCATCATCAGAAACGTGCATTGATTTAACACAAGCCTACTTTTTCTGCTAAAAATTGAAAGAAAATTATCCTAAAAGTTAACAAAAACTGAGCATGTTTTCGGCCCGTTTAGTTCCCTGATTCGAATTTTTAAATCGAGTTGAAATGTGACTTTATGTGAGAGCTTTTTACTGTAGTAAAAATGTTAGATGTGACTGTTTCTGAGAGCATTTTACTACTGTAAAACTCAAATTTTAAACTCGAATCGATAAAATGAACGGAGTTTTATATTTACCAAGCTAAGAGGACTGCAGGGTATTGGCTTGGATTTGCCATTGAAGTGTAAATGTTCGGAAAAACTGCGTGGCCCGAGTAGCAATATCCATAGAGACCGATTGCGACAGGAAGTGTTCCAAGGTTCAGCGTTGTCCCTGACCTCTCGAAACCGACCCCGTCCACCAAACCAACCCAAAACAGGCAGATTACCACCAAGATTGATGCAATAACTCCACCAGCTAAGCAAAAGAAGAGCACAAATCTTTCAGGCTTTGTTTGGTACATCAAGATAAAGTGTATTGTTATATTTGTATTTATTGTAGGATAGACATAGATTAATTTTAGTCCCGTTCATTTTACTGATTCGAGTTTAGAATTTAAATTTCTGCTATAACAAAAAGCTTTCAGAAACAATAACATCTAATTTTTTTGTTACAGTAAAAATTTTTCACATAAAGTCACATCTCAACTCGAATTAAAAACTTGAATCAGCGAACTAAACGAGCCATTTGTGTTAACAACTGAGACTTACCAGAGATATAGCTAAGAACAGTGAGGTCCCGGAGCCAAACAGTGGGAAGAACAGCGAGGGTGGTCAACACCGCGAAGAGAACTTTCGGGTTCATATAAAACCCGCCAAGACTTAGGTGCGCATTTGGAAATAGTGAAGACAAGTTGTCACTCTCCAGAATTATGTACTCAATGCAACAACCCTACAAGATCAGGATAAATTTTTCAACATGCAATTGGAAAATAATTAGGCACGAAATCAACTATTTTATCGACTCTATTTTCAGCTGATACAGATGTTTATGTTGATTTCGTCAGTTTTTGAGTTTGGGCGATCCACTGGCAAAAAGGCATTAATACGTCACGATGTAAAACGTTTTTGGTTAAACCATGTTAAACGTCGAGGATAAGTAATGTGATGGCTCAGATAAGTAGCAAAAGAAAAGATTTTGGATCACCTATATAGCACTGGTATTCGGACAAGTTGAAACAGGCTAGCAATATCATAAAGAAAAAATTACAATTAACTTCTCCTTTTTTTCAATTTTTTTCCTAAACATATATTGAATATGAGAAATGTTAACGTAATTATTTATGTTACTTTTTTTCGTCATTTATTAATTGACACGTGAACTCTATTAATATAATATATTATTATATAAACAAAAAATAAAATAATAAAATATATATATCAAATAATAAATATAAAAAATATAACAAAAAAGTGCAACCCTCGCATTTCTCTATTGAATATTATGATTGAAGAATTCCCGGATAGAGGATTAAAAAAAAAAGTATCTTAATGGTAAGACACTGTAATTACGTTAAAATCATATCAAATTTAAAAAATATAAAGTTACAGGACACTCTCTTGTCCTATCCCTAGTGAACTGGGCCTAATAAGATCCAAAAGACAGATAAAGGAGGAGTGTACAGCACAGGGTCATAGATCCGACAAGGGACCCAGGAATTTGGAGGTGGCCCCCACTAGAATCTACCTTACTGTCTTTCTGTCCCCACTCATAATTCACCGTCGCCCTATACAAGTAGGTTATACATGTAATAGTTTCAACATTATTATTCCATCAATATATGCAACATTTAATTAAATTAAGTTCATTATTTTCCACAATTAAAAGTTTCAAGGGGCCACCAAGCGCCAAAAGCCTTATTTTATTAGCATTATTGCTTTTTTAACCCAGCATAAATAAATTATTTTGAAAAAGTTTTTAATTAGTGAACAATCTTAAAATAAAAAGGACCGAACCACCACGTGTAGGATTCCATTATCTGATGTTCTGATAAAAATGAATAATGTTAGGGACAACGATACGAGTCTCATAATATAATAGACCATATAAATGGAGTTATATTTTATTAATTACGTTGTTGGAGACCATTAGTACCTTCAGGCATTTTTCAAAAAAATAGCAAGGAAGTAAGCAAGACAAGCAAGTTGGTACTTACATATAATTCCACGTAGAGTATGATCTGCATCAGAATAGAAAAAATAAATTAAAAAAAAATAAAAAAAAAAGCAAAAAAACGACAGAAGTCAAGTTTTGAGTGTGGAGAAGAGTAAGTAGAGAATTCACAATAGGCATTGAGAAAACTACTGACCGAGATGGCAATTCGACCGGGATTACCAAAAGCAGCAAAGCCAATGTCAGGGTAAGTCTCAAGGCCCGGTTTGCTATCTAGACAGTAACGCAAAAGCATTCCAGTGTAGAAAGAAAGCACTGAAAATAGGAACAGAATGCTGAGCCCAGCCCACCCTCCTTCTTTGGCTGCATATGGGGTTGAAAGGATTCCAACTCCACATAGCACGTTTATGCCTGCACATTTGATTTGGTCAATTAGTCTATTTTTATGCATATAACATGTGGAAGTAAAGCACGTAACATGACCGTCAATGTAATATTGATGTTGGACGTCACATTACACCCATTACTCGTAATATTGTCTGTGTTACGCCTCTCCAGTATCGATGTTATGTTCATTAATAGTCATGTTATTTTTTTTCAATTCTACATGTTACATTAGATGGATCTCCATCCAAATGTTTAGGAGGTAACTTTTTTTTACACTTTCCCTTTAGGTGTATATAGTGCAAATTCAAACCAGGGAAAATCTAAAAAAAAAAAAAAAAAAAAAAAAAAAAAAAAAAAGAAAGGAAAATGCAAAAGGGTATTACGATCAAGTACATGACAAATTAAAAGAAAAAGACAATGATAGAAGTTCGAACTTACGAAGATCTATTATGGTACCATATTTCCTTTTAGAAGTTTAACCTAATATTAATCAGGCTATTTTAAAATATATATCGTAATTTGGAAGCTAGACTTTTTACTTCACTTTGTCCATTACAATAGCTAAAGTAAAATCAAATTCAAACGAGTCCTAGCATTAGTCTTTTCTTTCCTCTAATAGAAGGAAAGAAGTTAAAATAACCCATTTCTTTACCCTTTTCTTTGTGGATGAATCATATATTTAACAGTGTGTTGACCCTATTATATGACAAAACACATACTGATTGAGTTTTGACATTTGAATATACGGCTTTATTTTTTTTCACAACTCAAACTTTTTTACTACAATATTTTCTCTTACAAAAATTAAAATTTAACTTTTTTACTATAATATTTTTTATCACATGAAAAAATTTGAGTTGTGAAAAGAACACACCATATATTTTTTTTAAATAAATAAATAATGCACATATCTCCTATATTTAATGGTATTGAAAACCTTCCCCACAATCATGCTAAAAACCTTGTAATATGATTCGTCAAATACAGAGGAGATAAAGTATAGCATTTTTAAGAAATAAAGTGAAATACATGTCTTGATAAAACATACAGGAAGTTTTTTAGGGCCAGTTTAATTTGCTAATTTGAATTGATCTATGACTTTATGTGAGAGTTTTTTTATTGTAGTAAAAAAGTTAAATGTGATTATTTTTTAGAGTTTTTTACTGTAACAAAACTAAAATTATAAACTCGAATCGGTAAAATGAACGATACCTAATTATCTCCTTTTTCAGTACATGAAAGTCAAAAAGAATATCCACCCCGGATATTCTTATATATATATACATACATACATACATATATGTATGTATGTAAGACGCAAAAACAGCTTCTTACTGGAGATACATGCATAATTGTTTGCTGACTTGATCGTTTCATGTGCGCCATGTGCAATAAGGGGCTAGGAGCCTCAGAAACTACATCATGATTGATGTCAAATATAAGGCAAGTTTGTTTGGACGCCCGTAAATAAGGTTGATGTCGATAATGTATAGACAAAAGGAAAAATGATAACAATAAAGAAATCTAACGTTATCCCTCCAATCTCAGCAAAAGATCTATACTCGAAATCAAATAATAAACAAATCTAGAAACCTTTGGAGGCTTCTATATACAATATTGCCCAACCAATATACGTTTTGTAAGAAACTCATAAATTTTTTTGGACGATTATTAGTCTATTTGAAGTTACTTTTGACTTATTAAGTCAAAAAGCTACTTCTTCTAAGTTTTTGGATAAATTTAAAAAAAAAAAAAAAAAAAACAAGTAACTTTTAATATCAGGGCTTCCTGTAACTTTTAAAAAGAACTCTTTAAAGATTTTGAAACTTATACTAAAATTTTAATAAGCTTCCATAAACTTTTCAGTGCTTATGAGAATTTTAAATAGGGAGTTTTTGTAGTAGTACAGTCTTTTCAGTAGTGTCAGTTTTTGATCATTAGATCAGGTCAAAACACATTAGATTCAAAATTATGTAAAATAGACAGTTTTTAATATAAATATAACGGTTGAGAATAAAAAATTACAGGTAGTTTATTTTTTCTGATCCTATCAGAGAAGCTCCTTTTAAAATATCATCTTTTTAACATGAGACATTTTTTTAAATATGTAATCCACACACTGATTAAAAAACCATAACTTTGCTTCTCTTTTTCTACTACCTAAAACCTAAACGTATAAACTAATACCGAACATGCTAGACTCTTATTGAAGAGAGCTTCAAGTTCTATCTTTCAGCCGTGTGGGGGATTTGAAAGCAGCAAACTGGTATAAAATTATTTCAACTTATCAATAAGGAGGGGCCAACAGATGAAAAAAATAATGGGATGTTTATTTTAAGGGTTCGTTTTTTAGTTCTGAATCATGATTCTTGATTCTTTATAGTGTTTTTTTCTCATAAAAAATTTAAATTTTAAAAATTAAAATAATGAATCATGATTCTGAATCCATAAACTTCGGAAGAAAAAGTGGTCCCTAAGGCTGAAGCTAAAGCGAGTGAAGCTCAGCCATTCCAGCAATCCTAAGAAGAAATCCCTATAGTAGAATAGATAGCCTACACGTCGATATGATATGGCAAGGATAATACAAGTCCTTACTTGGTCCAAAAGTACAGGGTCCTACCAATATTTTGACAGCTTGTACAAGTAATGGTTCTAGCTGGACGATTATGAGGCATGTTCAAGAAACCACAATTTGAATGTCATGTGAAATGACATTTTTGTTTTGTACTAGTTTAACATCGATCATGCCGGTCCTTGCGTAATAATTTGTTAGTCTCATAATTAACGTGTGAATATGCAATTATTTAAAGACTAAATGATAACTACCAATATTCGTATATAGCACTAATCTATGTGATCTTGCATGATTAGAAAGAACATTCTCAATTTTATTGTTAGCATTGATTTACTTGTCTTTAAGGAGGATTTAGATTTGGAAAAATGAAACAAAATAAACACTTACCATTTAACACGGCTTGTGCATTCGAGCTCTGGCGTGAAATGGGGTGTTCATGTGACACTCTAGATGCCTTCTCATCCTTCCTTAGAATAGAAGATCTCCGCGATGGAGGAATTGGAGGAAGGAGAGTGTGAGAGCTACGTCTCTGCTGCGGCGGCTGCTCGTCATCTACTGGTACTAAAAAGGGCCTCGCGTCGACCGGTAAGGACTCGGGAGTGTACCTTCTTGTTAGTGATGAGGAAAGAAATGAGCTGCCTAATCTGGACAATGTAGGAGTGCCCAGAAACCCAATGCTTGGAGATGGCACACTACTATAAAGATCAATGGATTGCCTGAAAAAAAAGGGGGAAAAGAATTATTGAGAAACAAATCAACAGGAAAAATCACAAAAGAAGTACTTCATCGCAATAATAGAGAAGAACATTTTTTATGTTTATGTTTGACTAATCAAAAATTATAATGACCACAGATTAATTATCAGGAGATTCCATTTGTAGGTCCAGATTAGGAGACATGACCAATTATCATGAAAATTAACACCCAATAGTACCAAACGAATCCATCTTATGTGCAAATTTTGAGATCTACCTAGTCATTGAATTTAAATCAATGCGCTTTTAAGAGTTTGTTAAGAATGTTCGTGATAGTTCTCTTTTCATTTTTGGCCGTCACGGGGTCCACACTAATTAATGGTTAATGAAAAAGGAGATATAGGTCTTATTCATTTCATCGATTTAGGTTTTTTATTTTAGATTTTTACAATTAAAAATTCTCAGAAATTGTCACATTTAATTTTTTTATTACAGTTAAAAACTATAAAAAAATATCACATCTCAACTCGAATTAAAACCTCGAATCTACAAAGCGAACGAGGCCATTGTGTCATGCATGCTTGCAACTAAAAAACAAAATTGCAGCTCCAAAAAAGAAAGAAAGAAAATGTGCCCCGTTTGCTTGTAAAATTGTGAATTAGTGTTAGTGGTGCTTATCAATTATCATCACAATTTTCTTTTAAAAGTTGGTGTAATGAAAGAGACTGATCGCCGTGTAAGGAATCCGGTTGTAAAACCACTCTCAGTCGATTCAAGCGGCTTCTTTTTTTTTTTGGTCCCAATATCAAATCTGTCAATCCCCTAGCCCCCATTAAATCTGTTTCTATAAAAAATAAAAAGGAGAAAATATTGGCATATTTGACTGTAAAAATTAAAACTAATCCAAAGTTTTGAATTTGATTTATCACTAAAGTTGGATTATAACATATGAATCCTCAACATTAAAAAAAAAAAAAAAAAAAACAGAAAGACAGAGGTTATAGAAAGAGTGAAAAATACCTGTAACTTTGAGGCCACGAGGTATTGTAAGAACTGGGCTTGTTCTGCTGCTGATTTTCGACCGAATAATCCGAAGAATCCGATTCATTTCCATTATCTTCTCCTTTGGGAAACTCCTTTTCATCATCTTCTTCTTCGCTCTCAATGTAAAAACTGTGATCAGAGGCCGAGTTGTTCATCTTCTTCTTCTTCTTTCCTTCTCAATACCAGCCGTCTGCGAACAAACTCAAAACCCCACAATGAAGGAAAAAAAAAAAAGAAAGAAAAGGAAAAAGCTCGCCCCAAATGAAGGGTTTCTGAAAAGGAAAAATAAATTCAAAATGAAAAATTAGGCTCTTGAAAAAATCTGTTTTTTTTTTTATTTTATTATTTTTATTATTTTTATTTTTAATTTTTGGAAAGTGATATATCTGCTTGTTTTTGCTTCCTATATTGATGGACCTTGTTTACAATAATCATGGCATTATAAAGAAAATTTTACATGTGGACATGAGTTAATTATGCTAATAAATAAAAATTGTCGAAATACCGTATATGGAAGGAAAAAAAGAAACATTATTTAGGACTTTAGCATACTGTATATATGTGTAATGTTTCCGTTTGGTTGGCGAGAAAATAGAGGAAAAGAAAGAGACTAAGAAAGAAGTGTTGTCGTATCTTAATTCGTATCTGTAAAGTATTATAACTAATGAAAGAAACAGAATCCGAAAATCTAGACAATTTGACTAAGCAAGCGGAGAGATTCATTCATTCATTCCTAGTCAAAATCAGAACTGCAACGTGATCATCGGAAAAATCTGTCTGTCTTTGATCTCTTTTCTCGGAAAACAAACAGTAACCGAAAAAGAAAAAGATGAGGAAAAAGAAAAAGAACTCCGCTGCATATTCACTCAGAATTTTCAGAATCTCAAAGGAAAAGGTGTTACCTTTTTTCTTGGTCGCCCAATAGAATCTGAAGAACGAACCAGAAAGGCTCTTTTTTCAAGCTATATTTCGCTTCCTGTAAAGTCTGCTACATATAATATATATGGTAGATATATATACGTGTGTGTGTGTATAGATATATATATATATATATATATATATTGTGTGTGTGTGTGTGTGTGTGAAGGGAGAGAGAGTGGGGTCACTGTCAATCGAGGGGCGGTATATAACGTGAAGATTCAAGATGGCCGCTTGTGAAACTCTTCCGTTTGTGAGTCGTAAATCTGTGGTTCTGTGGCTGATTCCATCCAGCCGGCTGGATGGTTCAGCCCCTACGTAACATATTATTAGGAATATAAAAAGATGCTAACGTGGGTAAATGATTAGTTTAAGTCATTATTAAACACTTTTTAATAAATTTTTTATTTGTGCCCACCATTGCAGCAAGTTGGTGTGACACTACTTCATTTCAACATAAATTTGGGCCCGTTTAGTTCGTTGATTCGAGTTTTTAATTCGAGTTGAGATGTGATTTTATGTGAGAGCTTTTACTGTAGCAAAAAAGTTAGATGTGATTATTTGTGAGAGCTTTTTACTGTAGCAAAACTCGAATTTTAAACTCGAATCAGCGAAATAAACAGGATCATGTACTTTAATGGTTAATTTAGAACGTTACTTTCGTAACTTATATTTTAAATAACTTGAATCGAGTATGATTTATGAAGAAATTTAATGAAATGATAAAATTATGAAATGTAATATTTTCGCATTAATTTTTTTTGGGAACGCAGCATAGCACAATGAGAGTGGAGGTATTTGTAATATTTCTTTTAATTTGTTTTCGTGATGATATCCATAATTTCAAAAATTAATATGATGGACGGTAAATTTAGACATGATCATTATTATGGGAGATGCATTGTTTTTAGTTGCTAGCTTGAGAGGGGCGTTACATATATAGCCTTGCTGATCCCCTTCACGCGGCCAACCAATCTTTATTCCGATAGATTGATGGAGGGAGGTGCGAATCGAAACAATTGCGATTGTTTATGTGGGGTTGAGAATGTTCATATTGATGTCTTCGTTTCTGGGTTCTTATCCAAAGAAGAGATTCTCTGTCATGAAGGAAGCCAACGTGGAGAGTGAAGTGGGAAGTGATAATGCCAACGTGGAATTGACAGGGGCTGCAGAGCTGGCATCCGATGTGGAGGCCATTATAACAACTCCAAGGAGGAGGCTGAAAATGAGGAAGGATGCTCTTGGGAGACGTGAGAAGAGGTTAGAGGATTTTGTAGTGGGGTGAGGAATGTGTATGGGGTAATGTAATAAATAGGAAGGAAAAGGGCGAGGGGGGATTTTATGTGAGAATTATGGAGTATATGCTTTCTTCTTTCCCGTTATCTTCTTCCTCCTTCTTTGAGTTGTAACGAACCGTGAGTATTAGTACTTTTATCAATCAGTGGAAGTTTCATTTCTTCATTCTCTGAGTTTTGTTTGGTAGACTAGGCCGATCATTGCAAATTGGTGCTTTCATTGAGAGATTACAGGACTAGTGGCAATGGTCAACGGAACACCGCAGAAGGTGATGGAGGAGACAATCAGGCAGCTACAAGATTCAACGTCGTTGCACGCATCGGCGTTGGGCTCCCTTTAATCCACAATGGAGGACCTACGAACGGTGGGCCATGGACAGCAGCACACCATTAACGAGTTAGCAAATAAGATAACCGCTATGGACGGGAAGCTGGAACAAGTTCTTCGTCTCACTCAGGCCACTATCACACAGCTGACTGGTCTCATCGCCAACGTTGTTGAGGCGGTTGAGGGAAGCCACCGAGCTAATCCCGCACCAGTACCCGTGGCATATGTTCCACCGGAGCCTCTAGGGGTCATTCCAAGTCAGTCGGTGCGCCTATAATTTCTGCGCTTCACCGGCGAGAATCCGACGGAATGGATCGCTAAGGCAGAGTAGTTTTTCCACATGTTCCAGACCACCGAAGCACAGAAGGTGGATATCACCTCTTATCCCCTCGATGGATCCGCTTGGCAATGGTTCCAGTGGGCGTAAGGAGAAGGCCCCTTCCAGCATTGGGCTCATTTTACTCGGGCCCTAGAAAGAAGTTTTGGGCCTACGACACTAGAAAACCCGGGAGCTGCCTTGGCCAAACTATCCCAAACGGGGACAGTGTTGGAGTTCCAGTCGCAATTTGAGCTCCTTTTAAACCGCGTCCCCCAGCTACCGGAATCCTTCCGGCTCAGCTTGTTCCTGTCCGGGCTACATGAGGAAATACAGAATGATGTACGCATTTGCAAGCCTACTACAATAGCTGATGCTATCGAGCTAGCCAGGTTGTAGGAAGCCAAGATGCTGGTTACTAGGAAGGGTTGGATGAGGGGAACGACCCCAAAATTGGACTTCAGACTCGTGGTGCAGATCCGAGGGCCGTTGCTGCCCACTCTGCCAGTGAAACCCATTCCACCAACACTGACGGCACCCCCTTTACCTGCGGTGCCATTCCGGCGCCTCACGGCAGCAGAGATACAACGGAAGCGAGACCTCAACCTTTGTTTCAAATGTGACGCCAAGTACTCAAGGGGTCATAGATGTTCGGGATGAGGTCAACTTTTACTTCTTGACCTCACCGAGCAAGGAAACGATGAGATGGAGAGGAGTGATGCGGAGATGGCTGAGGAAATGCAGGTCGCGGAGCTACAGGCATCTACCGAGGAGGACATCGCAGAAGCTGCGATTTCATTTCACGCCCTATCCGGTAACTCTAATCCGACCACTTTGCGATTCATGGCTTTAATAGGGAATCATTCACTGCACACATTAATGGATGGGGGAAGTACCCATAATTTCATTCAAAGTAGGGTTGCCAAGCACCTGGGGTTAGGTATTGAGGCAGTGCCACCTATATCAGTAGTCGTAGGAAATGGGGAGAAGTTGGAGTGTGAGGGATGTATTAAACGGGTCCCATTGAGCATTCAAAATTGTCAGTTTGTGGCTGACTTGTTTGTAGTCCCTATTCAAGGGGCGGAATTGGTATTAGGAGTAACTTGGATGATGACAGTAAATCCAGTTTTGCATGATTATGTGCACAAGGAATTGACCATCCAATACCAGGGCAGCCTAAGACCTTACAAGCCACAACCTCGTTTAATCCTTAGGAAGTGGAGTACCACCAACTCCGTAGTATAGTACACTCGGCAGATTGGAGCACTTGCTTTAGCTTATCTTTAGAACAGCAGGGCAGTGGGGAATTGAAAATCACTGAGGACCCCCGTATGACCAGAGTTTTGGGTCGGTACTAAACGGTGTTCCAGAAGCCAAGTGGCTTGCCACCATCCTGGCCGTGGGACCATGCTATCCACTTAATTCCTGGAGTCACACCATTGAATGTGAGGCCATACAGATACCCCCATTTTTAGAAAGAAGAAATAGAGCGTTTGGTACAGGAGATGTTGAGGGAAGGAATCATTCAACCCAGCACTAGCCCTTTCTCTTCACCAGTCATTTTAGTAAAAAAGAAAGATGGCACGTGGCGTTTTTGCACGGATTACAGGGCCTTAAACGCAGTCACGGTGCGCAATCGTTTTCCTATTCCAACGGTAGATGAATTGTTGGATGAGTTGACAGGGGCCACCATATTCTCCAAATTGGATTTGCTGGCAGGTTACCATCAAATCCGAGTACGACCGGAGGATGTGCCGAGGACCACTTTTTGCACTCACGAGGGACACTATGAGTACCTAGTCATGCCTTTCGGCCTCACCAACGCCCCTTCCACTTTTGAGGCGACTATGAATAACATTTTTCGCCCCTTCCTTCGCAAGTTTATTTTGGTGTTCTTTGATGATATTTTTGTTATCCGCACTGTTAATATGGCGAGATATTGAATGAGTGTATTTCGCATAATGAGATTATGTGGAACATGGACACAGACACAATATGAATTTCTAATAATTTCTGTTAAGCATAGAAATTCTAATTGAGTCTACCGATGGTCATATATAGGATGATCTTAATCCTGAGTTCTTAACAAACTCCTATTTATGGATTTATGTCTTTTGATTTACTCGGTACGGATTTCGAGACCCTGAATCCTATTCCTTGTATTTTGGAGACATAATGAAATAGGTAGCTAGGAATGTTATTATACGAGATGGAATCCATTCCTTCTTGAGAAAGAAGCAGATAAATAATTCTCTTAAGTGTTGATTCGGTACTTGGATTAGTAAGAGCACTCTGGTTCATGAATGTGTTTTATGAATCACTATCCATTAGAGAATCAATGGTACTCAAGGATAAAGATGTAATTAGAGAGGTTAACGGATTCTACCTGACTCTAATTATGAATTATTTATGGAGGATTGATCTATATGTAATGACTATATCAAATGGACACTTCGCAGTTTAGAAGTAATTAATGTCTATAATTTTGAGAGTTCAATTCCAAGTTTATAGTGGAGTAACTATTGGAATTAATAGAATTAATTAATTAATTAATTAATTAAAGTGTTTAATTAATTATTAATTTTATTGGAGCTCGG